GTCATGTAGGGGTACAAGATCCCAACAATGAATGTAACTGTACTGTATCCCTCAAATGTACCAATAAACTCAATTAAAAAAAACTGACCGAGATACACTAATAAGAAAAAAAATGCAAGGTGCAGATTACTGAGTGAGCATTTCATTTTCTGACAAAAACACTTGGTCTAGGTTTGGCCAGCCCTCTGTGTAAGTGGGTTCCTATCCACAGATGTACCCAACCACAGACAGACAATATTTGGGGAAAAAATTACATCCACCCGATGGGGGTGTCACACACTTGGAATCCCAGGCAGGAGGATACCAAATTCAATCAAATTCTGGGGAATTTAGCAACTTGAAATACTTTCTTAAAATAAAAAACAAAAAAATTGGCTAGGGAAGTGCAAAGGCCCTGGGATCAATCCCCGGTGCTGCAAAAGAAAAAAAACGTGAGCAGAGTTGGGATAAACAAAATTATTTGGCTCTACAGTGAAACACTGAGGCACACAACAGCCTTGGAGCTCATCAAGATCTACTACAGAAAAAAATAAAATAAAATAAAGGTTCTCAAAGTAAAAAAAAAAAAATCTATTACAGGATGGTCCCTGGGAGTGTATCTGGGACCCCACCAGAGGCTGCTGGAAGAAAAACTTGCAATTTTTACTGTACACCCTTGCTTATAATGTCTATTTTCCCTAATAGCCTTTATTAAATCTTTATTTTCTTTTAGGGACATTGAGGCAGTCACCTTAGCATTTGTACAACATATAAGCCCACATCCCTCCTATGAGCAGATACAGCAAATGTGAAGTACTGACTTAAGTCAGCTTGCACCTGTCTTATGGAGGAGGCTGAGGCAGGAAGATCGCTGGAGCCTAGTTCAAGGCCGGCCTGAGCCAACATAGTGAAACCCCATCTCTTTAAAAAAAATAACAATAAAAAAGTACCAAATTGAGGCTGGGGGTGCAGCTCTGTGGTAAAGCCACTGCCTAAGTGTGAGGCCTCCAGTTCCATCCACAGCATCAAAAGAAAGAAAAAAAAAAAAAAGAAAGAAAGAAAAATGGCCAACTTAACCAAATACCTGCGGTTCGAAGCTTCTTCCTCTTACTCATTCTATCTCTCCCTCGAGAAATCTGAAAACAACAGAATCTCTATTATGAGAAGCAGTGTCTGTCCTTGTCTGCATCCAGAGGCCTTGGCTGAGGACAGAGGCACCAGTCCCATATGGCTGCCCCCAGAGGCCAGTGGACCCAGGGCCACAGTACAGAAACAGGGCACATCCCTCATGCGGTGGGGCACCCTGGGGACCTCAGCTTTGGTTGCTAGGTCAGGGTGCAGGCCAGGGGAAGACCCCTTCAAGCCAAGTTGGGGGGTGTCCTGGGTCCTTCCGGGGATATGTGAGGACTCCTCTCGAGAAACTACTTGGGGACTTCAGGATCCATTGGGGGTGCCCGGGGCTTTAGACGAAGGGAGTCGCCAGTGGCTGGCTTCTTCCTGCCTTGGGGACCAGAGGAGCCCCCCCAGACCTGGGCCACGTAAGTCGTCCAAGTCTCTCTGTCCTTAGCAGGAATGAGGTTTGCATGGATCTGCTGAGGAATAAGTCGCTTAAATTACTGTAAATTAGTTGCTTTTTTTTTTTTTTTTTTTTTAAAGAAAATGACAGTACTAGCCCTCAGGGACCGCGCTGACCCCTAGAGGCCCATAATTGTGGACCCAGGTCCCAGCGACTAGCCCCACACTAAAACTAACGGTCACCGAAAAGTGCAGATTCCCCAGTCCAAAAGCCCAAACGACGCCCGAAGTAGCGCGTGGTAGCGAGCTACGAGAATCCCGGGACACCTGTTCCCCGCAAACCTACGCGAACCACGGCGTCAGCCCAGCGCACGCGCAATAACAGCACGGGCCGCGCACACCTGCGCAGGCTCTCTTTCCTTTCCGGCGCAGCCCGTGGCCCCGCCCATCGTATCTCCACCAGGCGCCTGCGCTCCCACGCAACGCCCGTCGGGAGATGTAGTTTCGACGGGTCGGGCCCGGCGAGTCCCAGGGTGGGTGGCTTGCTCTAGTGCGGCAGCGCCCAGAGGCCAAGACGGAAGTGGGGCGGCCACCCCGAGAGACGAGGGCGCGGAGTTGACAGACACGGGACTCTAAAGAGGGGCCCAGGACTTGGGAGGGGTGTGTGTGCGGCGACAGTCCTAGGGTGAAGAGATAGGGCAAGGCCAGGCACCGGGGGCCGGCGGTCCGGGCATTCAGCCTGGAAAATGCACAAGAGGAAGGGACCCCCGGGACCCCCAGGTCGAGGCGCCGCTACCGCCCGCCAGGTGAGTGTGCGCCCCACAGACCCACTGGGGAGCTCCTCCCCACCGTCTATACCAGAACGGGGAGGCCCCCTCCGCCCCGCCCCCGGGACGCCAAATAGCTCGGCCCCCTAAATTAGCCTTGCTCCCCCACGTGCGGCCTAGGTAGGGGTCCTGCCCGCCTCCCCACCTCCTGGCCTCTGCCCCGGTTTCAGGGCCACCTGTTGTCACAGCAGCTATAGAAAGGGAGGGGCAGCAATCAGACCCTTGGATTAGCAGGGTCAATTCAGATCTTATTCCCGTTGTTCGGATGAAGACAGTGAGGTTTAAGAGAGGTGGAAACATCTGCCCAAGGTCAAAGGGATTAACAACGTGACCAGATCAAATCCAAGGCGACATTCATAAGCCCAGAGGACCTTGGCTCGGCTCCTTCCCTCCTGTTCTGCACATTGGACATAGTTGGAGTTTTTGAAGCTTTAATGAAGGGAACATATGGCATAATTTAGTGCTCAGATATGAGTCTGTGTGTTCCCTCCTGGCCTTATCACCTTGGACACCTGACTTTACAGTTTCATGCATTATCACATCATGATCAGTCGTTAAGCAAAATGAGAAGACAGATCAACACAGCCATGACTCACTTTGAACTTCTATGTGTTGAGGATTCTAATTGGGCTTGATGCCCCACCTTCCTGCTGGGCCACCGCCACAGAGGACACTGGAAGGAAAAGCCTAGGTGTGCAGACTGGCTCTGGTTTAGACAGGTGTGGGCCTGCTTTCCCCAGTGAATTTAGCTAGCAGTGCATCTTAGGTGCGGGCTCCCAGTAGCAACTGAGTCTCTCTGCTTGCCTCTTGCCTCATTTAATCCGCTCCAAAGAGCCAAGCCCACGTTGGGACACCTGTTGTATTCTTGGCTTGATCCACCCTCCTGGTATTCCCCAGGGAAACAGCTTGTGCAGGACACTTTCATCCTTCCTTTGACTGGGCACAGGGGTTCCATTATGGCTGCCTCTGGCCGCAGGGTACATTGTAAGATCTAACTGACCCATGCTATTCCCACAGCTTGGGCTGCTGGTTGACTTCTCCCCAGATGGCTTGATGATCCCTGAGGATGGAGTTAACAATGAGGAGCTGGAGGCCGAGTTCTTGGCCTTGGTGGGTGGCCAGCCTGCAGCCCTGGAGAAGCTCAAAGGCAAAGGTGAGATATTTAATGCACTTCTCAATGTTTTTAGATTTCCCGCCATGGGCTAGTCTCAGAGCTGGACACTAGGCAGAAAGGAGAAGGAAAACAGAGAAAGCCTCTGCCCTTCAAGAGCCCATAGTTTGGCTGACGGGGTCAGTAATTAACTCTGGACACAGACGGAGGGTTTGAACCCCAGCTCTGCCACTTGTTCATCTTACCATCTGTGTTGACCTTGGTTTTCCCATCTGAAAAATTTAAATAATAAACCTAGCATGGTGGCACATGCTTGTAATTCCACCACTTGGTAGGCTGAGGCAGGAGGGTCCCCACAAGTTCAAGGCCAGTGTGGGCTACATAGTGAATTCAAGTCCAACCCGAGTACATATTGAGACTCTGTCTTAAATAAACACAATTTTATTTATTTATTTATTTATTTAGTACTGGGGATCAAACTCAGGACCTTGCACTTGCGATGGAGGCGGCGGAACCACTGAACTAAATCCCCAGACCAATAAATACACTTTTAAAATGGGAGTAATAACTGTGCTTACATCATAGGAGTTAATCTAGAATTCACAAAGTGCTTTCAAGGCTTCTTGACACATGATGAATTCACGCTGTCTTCAGTGCCAACCTGCAAACTGCCATTCTGTGGCGCAGCCTGGCATAGTGGAAGCACAGAGCCGTGGAGGTCCTGTGTGTCAGGGCGGGATTTTTGAAGGAAGGATCCAAGACATGGGGCAGGTTATGCTTTGGGAACCCTAGGGGTTGTGGCATCTGCCAAGGCCCTGTGATGGATGGTAGGGAGTGGAAGACTCTACAGTAGTTGAATGTGGTCAAAGCCAGATGAAGCATTTAAACATTATAGCTAATAGGTCAACCCCTTGTTATTTCTGAGTTTCACATTTATGAATTTGCCTACTTGCAGGAATTTACTTGTAACCCCTCAAGTCAGTACTTGCAGTGATTTGTGGTGAAGTTTGTGTGAGGTGGGTGCCACCAGGTGACATTCTGCCTTCCTGTTTCAGCTCTTCTGTTATAAACCAGGGTCCTTTTCCCCATCTGTTTACTGCCTCAGTTTCCCATTTTTGTGCTGTTTGTTGGCAATTTTCTTGTTCACCGTACGCTGGCCAAGAATACACTGTTAATGCATCAACAACATATATTAAACAAGGCATCTTTTTTTGTCTTCTTCTTCTTTTGGTTTCTTGAGAGGGGCCTGCTATGTAATTTAGTCTGGTCTTGAACTTACTGTGTAGCCCAGTCTGGCCTCAAACTCACAATGCTTCTCTTGCCTCAGCCTCCCAAATGCTAGGTTTATAGGCTAAAGTGTCTTTTAACAAAAATACCATAAAACAAGGTTATCCCCATGGAACATAGTGGGAAATTGAAGCCCAAAGAGATAACGCAACATGCCCAGAGATACTCAGTGGGAAAGCAGGTCATCCAGCTGGAGAGCTGAGGACTACAGTAGTCTGGGGAGGCAGGGTCAGGGTGACCCATGCAGGGAGCACTTGGGACAGTGGGGTGCAGTGGAACGGTGGAGAAGGGCCCTGCTGGGTGGATGGGAGGTGGGTGTACTGGGAGGATGCTGGTCTAGCTGGACCCTCCGTTTGCCACCAGGTCCCCTCCCCATGGAAGCCATTGAGAAGATGGCCAGGATGTGCATGCAGGACCCAGATGAGGAGGAGGAGGAAGGAACAGATGAGGACGACGTAGAGGCCGATGATGACCTGCTGGTGAGCACTCCGGGCGGGGCAGCCTCTTGTCCCACCCTCCCATCTGGCAGTCTCTCATGTCCCACTCCCACCGTGTGTCCCACTCACAGGCAGAGTTAAATGAGGTCCTTGGAGAGGAGCCGAAGGCTTCGGAGCCCCCGCCACCCATGGCCCAGGTACAGCCCCAGAGACAGAAGGGTTTGAGGGTCACTCCTGTTTCCTTTCAGTTGCGTGATCTCAGGCAGGTCACATGATACCTGAGAGCCCCAGTTCCCTCCAGAGACCACAATTTCGGTCCTGCTGGGTGGGCAGCTGGCCCAGGGCCAACACACAGTAGCGATGAGCAGGGGGGCAGGCATGGCTTACGTCACTGCCCTGACTTTCTTCCCACCCCTGCTACAGCCGAAGCCCTCAGCCCCGTGCCCCAGGTTGGAGGCCATTTTGCAGGAGAGGCTGACCCTCTACCAGCTGGCGATGGAAAGTGCCCGACAGGCTGGGGACAGTGCCAAGATACGGCGCTATGACCGGGGGCTGCAGGTGAGTGGTGGGCACAGGGCTGAGACCCCAGCACTGATGCCACGCCCTTGCCTCTACCGAGCTCATCCTTTTCTGTTATCCCAGATGCTGGAAAATCTGCTGGCCTCTGTGCAGAAGGGCAATGCCATCAATGAGGAGGACATCCCACCACCTGTGGCTGTAGGGAAGGGCCCAGTGACCAGCCACCACCCTGTACCTCCCCAGCCCAGCCCTGCCAACCCACCAGCCCCAGAGCCCAGGGCCACCCCAGAGGGCCCCCTGCCGGCCACCCCGGCTTCGTCCTTGGGCTCTGCTAAGTCCCCCTTGGCTCCAGGTAGGTGGTGAGCAGGGCCAGGATGACACAGGCCATCTTTGTGGGGGTGAGCAAAACATGGTCCATCTACACCATGGAATATTACTCAGCCTTCAAAAGGAAGGAAATTTAGGAGTGTGTTATAACACCTGTGAACCTGGGGACAGGGTAGTGGGTGTAATATACTAGTCATGAAGAACAGCGTTATTACATGATTCTGTTTATGGGAGGTGCCTAGAGCTCAGTTATAGAGTCAGAAGATAGCATGGTGGGTGCTGGGGCGGGGGACGGGATTAGGAGAATGTGCAGAGGGGGACAGAGGTATTTGGGAAGGTGAGAAAGTCTTGGAGATGGACAGTGGTGACAGCTGCATGGCAATATGGATGCAGTTAATGCCACTGAATTTTACACTCCGATGATTAAGATGATGTGACATAGTATATATATTTTACCATAACTTATAAAATAAAACAAGGAGAGAATGTCAGTGAATTTCAAATCGTCAGAAAAAAATTTAAAAACCGAGGCTACTGAGTTAAAAGTTGATTATATTCCTTTTTTTCCCCCTAAAGTTAAAAGTTTAAAAGCCAGGGATGTAGCTCAGTGGTGCTGCACCTGCCTGGCAAGCTCAAAGTCCCGAGTTCAACCCCTGGTACTGGAAAAAAAAAAGTTTAAAGTTAAAATGCTTTCATTAGGTGTGATGGTACCTACCTGTCATTCCAGCATGCTAGGAGGCTGAAGCAGGAGGATTGAAAGTTCAAGCCTAGCCTGGGCAGCTTGGCATCTTAATGAGACCCTGTCTCAAAATGAAAAACTACAAAAAAAAAAAAAAAATGTGGGGAACATAGCTCAGCTGGAAAGCCCTGGCTTCAGGGTGTATGGCCCAGTGGGAGAGCATGTGCTTGGCATGTACCTGGCCCTGAGTTCCACAACACCAAAAAAGCCCCCTCAAAACACAAGAGTGCTTTAACAGTCTTCTTTGAAATGCCAGTGATTGTAAGACACTCTGAGTGACAGCCTC